ACATTCTTTACAGTTTATGGAGTTTTATCCAACAAACGTTATATGACCAATTTGTGTCAGGCAGCATGTTAAATGCTAAAAATGATCCTGACAGCTTCTGCCCCCAAGGAAATCATGTGTATTATTTTAGCTTTATAAAACTCTACAAAGCAACTGAGGTAGGTATTATTTTCCTTATGTTACAGATGGTAAAACTGAGGCTCAAGTAAGTAAGTAAGTAAATATTCCAAATAAGAAAATGGGAAGGGAAGAGTTGTACACCCAGATTTGACCCCAAACCCTGCCCTCCTTCCACATGGCATGCAGCCTTTAGATGGGCAGGAGAGGGTGGCCCAATGTTCCTACACCTTCTCATAGATCCTGAGCAGGACCAGCCCAAAAGAAAAACCTGGAAGCCTAGCAGAGTATTTTTGGGACAGCCTCTCTCTGATCATGCCCCTCAGTCATCCTCTGCAGTGTCCACACGCGGCCCTGCCCTCCTCTGGGGGTGGCAGTGCATGCAGCTCCCCTGCCAGCCCAGACACACCTGCTTGCAGCACCAGGAGGTCCATGCCAGCAATCCCAGCCCAGTGCCCAGCTTCGCTTATGCTGTGAACTTCCTGTCCACACAATGTGGGTGCTCCACCCTGCTAAGTCATGGCTATGCAGTCTATATGATAGGTTAGCCTGGCATTTCCTTCCTGGGAATTATCCACGGGATCTCGGCAATTCTTCCTACAGGGCAATCTTCACAAGCACCTAGGGGCCATCTGGAGCAGGCAAGACCTCATGACAGCCTATCAAATTACTCTCCAACCAAGCACAAAACGAGCCCAAGTGTGTGGCTCAAGTTTATCAGGATGAAACCCATTAGACACCATAATCAACAGAGAAATGAACATCTATGGGGAAGGCATTGCCATCCTCCCTAGAGACATGAGGGCAGAATGGGGCAGACAGATAGGCCATGGACAGGCTGAGCCACAGACTTCCATACACGGACCAAGTTTACTCCAAGTTCCACACTTCAGTATGTCTTCTCACTGAAGACAGTTTGGGGCTGAAGCTCGCAACAGGAAGAACAAGGCATGGGGCCACTGCTGTCAGACAGAGGAAAGAAACTGGAGCTAAGGAGGCCCCAAGAGACCAGAGGGCCAGCCTGGCTCCACCATAGACTGGCTGTGTGGCCTCAGCCACATGACAGCCTCTCAGCCCTGCATGCATGGCCTAGTCACAAAACACGCAGTTTGTCCAAGAGAATGCTAAAATAAAATCTCCGCTAGACCTGCAATTCTAGGAGACTAAGATTCTATGTATTAGGGTTGGGAGGAAATAACGCAAGTTAAAGGACAGCATTATTTTACACAAATTAGCTCCTTCTGGATTGGGGGACATTGAGAGCTTCCATGACAGGTGGATGCAGGACCAGCCTCATTGACAACTAACACTGAGCTCACATCAGAGTTGACATTAGGAAGAATTCAGAAATACTAAAAAACGAGGTTTAGAGATGGGGTTCCCTGGCCATGAAGAACTGCAATCTATTTGAAATATACAACCTACATATCAAATGGTGTAAGGAAATTTACCAAGTGGTTGGAAGTCAGGAGCAGAAGTTACAAGCAGAGTAAACAGTGGAGGCAGTGAATTCCCATGCCCAGCCAGGGCCTGAGTATCTGAGACCTCACCATTAGCGTCTTGCCTAACTCCCCCCACACACCTCTGAGGTTTTATATAGGAAGAAACCGAGACCCAAAAAGCTGATTCTCACTGGGGTCAACTAGCAAGGAGGTGGCAGAATAAACAAGATGCACACCCTGGACTGTGATGCCAAAGCCTGGGCTCCATCCTCTCCCTCCTGGCATTTTTCCCAAGCTTGAAGAATGAAGAGCTGCACATACATTAATTACCCAGAAAAAAAAAAAAAAGACACCAAGATACCAAAGGGTTTTCTAAAAACCACCTTGGTTATAAAACAGATTTTCTATTTTCCTTTTTTGTTAACGAATGCTGAATATAATCTGGCCTTAATACGCAGGATTGTTGGGAGCACCAAAGATTCCCACTCGGAACGCAGGCCTGCGTGGCCTGCATGGTTAGCGTGGGATGCAAAACTGCTGGCCGCCATGCTGCCGGCCCTGCTCTGCTGAGCTCGTCTTCTGGGCCACCTGCCATTTCTCACTGCTGTCAGCCGCCCCCTCTCCATCAGCCACCCCTTCTCCACCTAGTGTCTGGCCCAGACTCGAGGACAGCTGAGCTCCGAGGCCTTTTCAGTTGACTTCCAGTTCCTGGATGCGTTCCAGATGGCAGAGGTTGCTAAAAGTCTGACCTCTGGATAAGTGGGGCATAATTATGCCTGAGAGCTGGGAGGATACATCATAAAGAGGTTATCAGTGTGGGGTGCGGAGGAGAGGAACAGGAAATAGGGCCAAAAAGTGGCAGTTTCCTAGATCAGCTGAGTTTAGCAGCAGATTTTAAACCTGAGGCACATGAAGTTTAAAGACAGAGACTATCTAAGGATAGGAACTGTTAGCATGTGCAAAAAATAACAGGAATAGCTTCTGCATTCACTGAACACCTACTCCGCGTCTGGCACCAGCCTAGGTGCTTTCTAAATGCTGTTTCACTTAATTAACAACTGAGTATCATTCCCAAATCTCAGAATGAGGAATCTGAGGGCCAAAGACATCTGAGCTAGTGAGCAGCAGAGGTAGGATCTGAACCCTGGAACCCACCGCCCATCCATGGTCCTTCCATTACACATGGCTGCCTTAAAAACCTTCTGTAACAGACACAGCCAGCAAATCCACAGAAGCACTCAAATCAAAACGCTAAACGAAGGACCGAAAGCAGCACATGAGGTAATAAGGTCCATGAGGGCAATATCCTATTAGGCAGAATTGCTAAACTGATTCACCTCGTGCAAATGAGGACCAGGGATCGTCCGGGACTCCCTGGGCATCTGGTGACTTGGAATTGTTCCAAGACAGCAGCCTCTGGTGAAGGGCAAGTCAGTCACCTTAACTGGGGAGCAGAGAGCTCATCCTCATCAGGATTTCCAGCTGCTGCCACCCCCAATACCTGATCCATGCAGCTTGTGCCATCAAAACTCATGAACAGATAGGCTGCTGTCAGGAAGAAGATCTTTATCCTCAGTTAAAAATATTACTGGACAGGCTGGCCACAGTGGCTCACATCTACAATCCCAGTACTTTGGAGGCTGAGGTAGGCAGATCGCATAAGCCCAGGAGTTCAAGACCATCCTGGGCAACATAGACCCCGTCTCTACAAAAACATTAAAAAATCAGTTGGGTGTGGTAGTATACACTGTGGCCCCAGCTACATGGGAGGCTGAAGTAAGAGGACAGCTTGAGCCCAGGAGGTCAAGGCTGCAGTAAGCCGAGATCATGCCATTGCACTCCAGCCTCATGATGTGCTGTCTCAAACAAAACAAAACAAGAAAACCTGGACAATTTCTCCAGATGTGGCAGTACACAGGCTTGTGTAGAATACAGTAGTGTCCCAGGAATGAGCCTCTCCCACATCTAGGAGCCAAAATGGATTAAATCTTTTGGATGTGACAAGAAGGATCAAGAGTGTTAGGAAAAAAGGCAAGAAAAATGTACTAAAGATGACTAAATTGAAGCCCTCTCATGGTTCTCTTTATTCTGAATGCAGGATGAAAGTTTATGTATAGGTGAATAATTACAATTTTCACACATGTTGGGCTGGGCATGGTAGCTCATGCCTGTAATCCCAGAACTCTGGGAGGCCAAGGTGGGCAGACAGATTAAGTCCAGGAGTTCAAGACCAGTCTGGGCAATATAATGACACTCCATCTCTACAAAAAATTGTTTTAAAAAATTAGCCAGGCATGGTGGTGCACGCATGTAGCCCCAGCTACTCAGGAGACCAAGGCAGGAGGATTGCTGAGCCCAGAAGGTCGAGGCTGTAGTGGGCCATGATCTGTACTCCAGCCTAGGTAACAGAGTAAGATCCTGTCTGTAAAACATTTTTAAAATAAATAAAATCTTCACACTAGTTTATCTGCTCAGTGTAATAAATGGTTACTGAGAAGTCAGGTGAAGTGAAAAGTTGGTTCTGTCCACCTGTTTTAAATGTCTAAGGAGTACGCGTTTAGAGAGGCCATACAGAGAATCCCATCCATTTTTTTTTTCACTCAAATGTAAAGAGTTGCCCGAAGTTAAGCAGCTGATCAGGGATAAAGCCAATGCTCCCAAACCAGGCCTCCTGCCAGCCAACAGAGAGCTCCTTCCCCCAACAAGGTCACACCACCCTCCTGTCCTTTTCAAAGAACCTCCTAAACTTAAGACAGTCCTCCCCACCATAAGCTTGTTAAGGTTTTAACTATTAGAGAATCAATTGCGGGGCTCACTCTTCTTGCATCCAAGCCCCACAGCAACAACAAAATATTCATTGAGAGTAAGTTCTGTCCCAGGCATTCCTCTAGGCACTGGGGATCTGGTGGAAAAGAAAACAATGCCTCTGTCCCCATGGAGCATACGTGACACTAGTGGAGGCAGCCGATGAACCGGCTAATGCATGGCACATAGTGTCAGACTGCAGAGATGGGAGGAAGGGAAGCAAGCAGAATCCTGCAAGTACCTCCAGGCCCATGTTTCTGTCTGCTCTGTTCACAAAGGCAGCACCAGCACCCAGTAGGTATTTTCTGACTGAAGAAACAAAGAAAAAGAGTGGTGTTCTTTTAGATTCAGAAGTCAGGAAGATGTAAATGATATTCGAGCAACACACACCAAAAAAGACTCAGAAACTAAGTGCAGGTTATAGAAAGTAACTGTTATCACTCTGAGAAATGACCAATAAATGTATCACTAGTCTTTTACGCTTTGTTTTCACAGAACAGTCCACACCTAGCACAGCGAACGCCCCCGAGTAAGCACATAGCCAATGAAGAGGCCATGCAGGCTGGCTCCGTGTCAGGCAGCCCTCCTCCCACCCCAGGTGTCTCCAGAGACCATCAAATGCAACAGCCCCAACAGCAACACACTGGCACTGACAGCTCCATAGTCACACAAACGCCCTCCTCAACAAAGCCGTCACTACTGGTGGTTCTCAAACCAGAAGCTCCCGCATGGGAGCAGCCCAGCTCGACGCATCCAAACTCAAGCTACGAGTTCCTGGAATCTCTATTGATAACAATATTATTATTACCATAGTCCCACAAAGTGGATAACAAAGTGACTTGCCCAAGGCCACGCTATCAACAGTAGGTAAAAGTTCACATTCAAACCTAGGCCTGCAAGAGTCAGGCTTTTACCTTTCATATGATGGAGGACTTCAAGTAATGCTGGGTAAATGCAACTGAGCTCACATACCATCACGTCAACCTGTCAAGCGATTCTTCTCTCCAGAAAGGCTAAGTAACCAAGCCCAAACCATGGTTTCTATGATGCCTTAGAAAGGATCTGGTGAAAAGGTTTTGCCTTCACATCACATATTTTCATATACGGTAAATAAATCCATATTAAAATCCATCTCCTGCTCTTCCAATAAACACTTCTGGGTACCTGGGAAGATGCTGAGAGCACAGTCCCTAAGGGTCACTGACACTGACCCTTGTGCTGCAATGGTAGTAAGAGCCCAGGTTAGTGATTCTGCCCTTCAATCCAGTAAGTGTCAGGACACTGAGGCACAGGAGCTTAATGTGAAACGCTTCTCAACTAAGTGTGCATTTAAGTTTGCGTCAAGCTCTTCCCGTGAACGTTAACTACGTCACATACTCTGTGCTAGGAGCTATGCATGTGTTCTCATCCAGGGTTCTCTGTTCTGTTCACATCGTCAAACTCGAAAACTGCTTTCAGGGTTTTAGAGAATCCACATTGCCTAGATTAACATCCAATTAATCTTCCAAAGACAAGCATTTTAACTTATTCCTAATCTCAATGTACCTTGCTAAGGTACTCTGTATTTCAAAGTATGAACATATTCAAATTCTTTTTTTGTTCCTGTTGTTTTGAGATAGGGTGGGTCTCACTCTGCCACACAGGCAGGAGTGCAGTGGCGCGATCTTGGCTCACTGCATCTCACCATGTTGCCGAGACTGGTCTCCCAAAGTGCTAGGATTACAGGCTGCCCACCTCGACCTCCCCAAGTGCTAGGATTACAGGCTGCCCACCTCGACCTCCCCAAGTGCTAGGATTACAGGCTGCCCACCTTGACCTCCCCAAGTGCTAGGATTAGTTGTGAGCCAACGAGTCCAGCCAGCCGATATTCAAATTCTTTTAGTGATGAGTTTATATACATGTCATTTTCCCACTAATTCCCAAGAGAAAACTTCACATATATACTTCATAAAAACTAACACACACACAGAGCACACTTATTCTGGGGAGGGAACAAAAATTGCTGGTTATGTTTACTATACTATTTCCTAATTACTTATATCTGTCCCTTACAACTAAACTGTGAGTCCTAGAAGGCCTATATTTAGAATCCTCAGTAACTAGCATAGTAAACAATCAAAGTGCTTACTGAATAAATGAGCAGATGAATGAGTGACTGCGTACCAGAGTGGCCCGGTTAGACATGCATTCTGTCTCAATTTAAGGTAGGAACAAAACAAGCTTCTGTAAGTGGGAACACTAACTCATTTTCCAATCTCCCTGCAAATACAGTTATATCTTTGGTTTCCACCAAACTAGACTAGGAAGTATTTTAATACAATTCATCTGTCTGACATACAGAAAGCAGATATTTTAAACAAAATTGCATTTTAACAGTTTCTTCTCTTAGTCACACTTTCCATCTGAGTTCCTAAACACCAGTGATTGTAATCTATGGACAAAAATGCGCATTATAAAAAAATCTTCAAGGCTCACTAGGGCAAAGCATTCCTGTTCTTGGAAAGTAAAGTGCACATCTTCGTTAATCCATATGCCTTCTCTCAATAATACTTAAAGCCATCATGCAGGGTAAGCCAAAATAAAGATATTACACAACGCTGCTTACGCCTTTTTTTTGAGCAACAATTTGTTTTGTTTGTTGTTACTGGGCTTCAGTTACAGCAAAGCAGGAGCTAGTGTGCACCAACGTCTTACACCCCATGGTCTGACCACATGTAATGGTCTCACCTGACAATCATCAGACAATCAAAACCTACTTCCCCAGCATCATGCTTCCTAGAGAGGGCAATTTTCCTCCATAAAGGAGGTGAGAAAAGAAAGAAAAGTTGGAGCAGTATAGGAGAAAGAAAAAATGGGATAAAATGGTGATCAGCTGAAGATTCGCCCCTTGAATCCATCCTGAAGAACCAAAGGGCTTTGGACCTAATTCCTTTGAAAGGTGATCCGGCGACCAGCTATCATCCCCAGGAGCTTCAGGACGAAGACTCGGGGAACAGAGCCCACACACCGCCCAACACAAGACATCAACTCCAAGCCAGGCTGAGCGCACCGCAAGTGCCCATCCCTGTCAAGCTAGACCCACCAGCTAGAGTACGGTACTGGGTCTATCACAGTTTGTAGCATCCAGTTCCCCCAGGTGATTCCCCTAGGTGTGACCCTACTAGAAAAAAAAGCTTCTAGAAGCAGGTCACCAGAGGTTACGGTGAAACCTTAGTGCACTTACTCAATAAACATTTACCAAGCACCATCAAAGCGCTGGCACAGGGCTAGGTGATGGAAGAGCTGCTGACAGTCTCAGCAAGGAACTGAATCTGCACTTCCCACAGACCAGATCAGATCTCTATCTGTAAACCGCCAAAGTGTGCGTCCCTAAGATCATGGTCCAAAGAAGACCTACCACTACTGTCTGGCCGGAAAGAAAAAAAAGTCTCATTCCAGCACAGAGCACAGACGTCCCTCCTCACTTCCAGGATGGCAAACACCCACAACGAATGCCTGTGAAGTACACGTTTTGCCTTCTCCTCCTTGCTTCATATGAGGAAACTAGTGCTAGAAGCAGCTAACCAACTTGCCCAGAAGCACAGTTACTAAGTAGTAAAACCAGGTTTGAAATTCACCTGCGTCCATCTGGTGACAAAGTTCTTAATCTGTCTAACATGCTCCCCTATACTTATTGGGACCCTAACATGTGCAACCATGAAATCCTCTACCTGCCAGGCCCTGAGTTCTCTTCTCACTTATTAGATTCGACCGTCGAGGTCCAGATCAAAATGCCATCCCTTTCCTTCTCCTCCCTTTCCTTGAGTCAGCGCAGTGTCTGGTATATATCTAGTAAATGTTGGAGGAGTTGAAAATATACATGTCCAGAAAAGGAAAATTACAGTACATTTTTTTTGGTGAGGCATGAACATTTAAAGCACTTTGTTGTTGTTTGAGACAGATTTGAGACTCCAGGCTGGAGTGCAGTGGCATGATCACAGCGCCACCATGCCTGGCTAATTTTTGTCTCTTTTATAAAGATAGGGTTTCGCCATGTTTCCCAGACTGGTCTTGAACTCCTGGGCTCAAGCAATCTTCCTGCTTCTTCAGCCTCCCAATGTGCTAGGATTACAGGTGTGAGCCACTACACCTAGCCAGTTTGATTCTCATGTATATGTGTGCATACCCAACCCTGATATGGATAAAGAATTTATAATCGAGCCAGTTTAGCATACAAAGTGGCAACAGGACAATGGCTTCCCAGAAAACCTCTCACCAAAAAAAGATCAGGAAAACAAAGAATGAATGTCCTACATGCACAAGCATTCAACCAAAATTTTGCAGCATTACTTCATACTGACAAAATACCTTCCTGGACACATGCTAAATTAAGAAAGATTGTATTCTAAAAGATATATAGGTGAGTTAATATTTCATCTTTTTTTTTTTTTTTTTTTGAGACGGAGTTTCGCTCTTGTTGCCCAGGCTGGAGTGCAATGGCGCGATCTCGGCTCACCGCAACCTCCGCCTGCCGGGTTCAAGCAATTCTCCTGCCTCAGCCTCCTGAGTAGCTGGGATTACAGGCATGCGCCACCATGCCCAGCTGATTTTTTGTATTTTTAGTAGAGACGGGGTTTCACTATGTTGACCAGGATGGTCTCGATCTCTTGACCTCATGATCCACCCGCCTCGGCCTCCCAAAGTGCTGGGATTACAGGCGTGAGCCACCGCGCCTGGCCAATATTTCATCTTAGAATGTGTTTTTGGACTCATCCAGATACAGGAGACCCTCTTATCCACGGTTTCATTTTCCACAGTTTCTACTAACCACAGTCCAAAAATATTCCACAGAAAAGTCTAAAAACAAACAATTCATAAGTTTTAAACTGCTCGCTGTTCTGTGTCGAGTGATGAAATCTCACACCGACCTGCCGCATCCCATGCAGGACATGATTCCTCTCTTTGTCCCGCAGAACCACAAGGTCCATGCTCCTGCCCATGAGTCACCTAGTAGCTGCCTAGTTTATGAGATGATTGTCCCAGTACTGAAGAGTTTGTGTTCAAGTAACCCTTATTTTTTTACATAAAATGGTCTCAGAGCACAAGAGTGGTGATGCTGGCAATGCAGACATGCCAAAGAGAAGTCATAAAGCACTTTCTTTGAGTAAAATGATTAAAGTCCTTGACTTAAGAAAAAATTCCTACGCTGAGGTTGGTACAATCTAAGGTAAAAGTGGGTCTTCTATTCATGAAATTGTGAAGAAGAAAAAAATAAATTCATGCTAGCTTTGCCCTCACACCTCAAACTGCAAAAGCTATGGCTGTGGTGCATGGCAAGTACTTAGTTATGATGGAAAAAGCAGTAAATTGAGGGAAGGGCCAGCATGGTGGCTCACACCTAAAACCTCAGCTCTTTGGGAGGCCGAGGCAGGTGAATCGCTCAAGTCCAGGAGTTTGAGACTAGCCTGGGAAACATGGATAAACCCTGTTTCTATGAAAAATAGAAAAAATGAGCTGGGCATGGTGGTGCATGCCTGTGATCCCAGCTACTCAGGAGGCTGAGGTGGGAGGATCACCTGGGCCCAGGAAATGGAAGCTGCAGTGAGCCATGATGGCGCCATTGTCCTCCAGCCTGGGTGACAGAGTAAAACCCTGTCTTGAATTAAAAAACAAAGTTGTGGGAGGAAGACATGACATGACCAGAGACATGTCATGATTGAAAGCAAATTGAGTTCAATATTCCCTGGTTGCAGGTATCCACTGAGGGTCTTAGACATATCCCCCTAAAATAAGGGTGCTACCATATTTAGGTAAGTCTGTGAAGATCAACTGTGAAAATCTTGTCTACATCGCTCTAAGAAGTTGACTAGTTTTTTCATCCTGACTTAAACCACCCCAAAAGTAGTAGGACAGGGAAAATAATTCAACTTGGAATCAGAAAACTTCCTTTTTACCACCTATGAGGCCTTGAGAAAGTCACTTAAATATGGCAAAACTTCCTCTCTACAAAAAATTACTGGGGCATTGTGATGTGCACCTTTAGTCCGAGCTACTCAGGAGACTGAAGTGGGAGATCACGTGAGCCCAGACAGGCCAAGGCTGCAGTGAGCCATGATCAGGCCACTGACCAGCCTGGATGACAGTGTGAGACCCCAACTCAAGAAACAAAACAAAACAAAACAAAAGATGCTGCCATTACAGTGGCTTCAACAACAACAAAATGGTTTTGTGCCCCTTAGATGGGTCCAAATGGTCAGCATATAAATGGTGCTCAGCTAATGTTAGGGGAAATGGGACTCATTTCTCTTACCTGGTCCTCAGTTTCCTCATTCACAAAAATAAGGAAAATGGTACTTACACCAATGGGTTATAAGAACTGATGAGTTCATGTTAGACTAGTATCTGGCATTAATAAAGGCTACAGAAGAGTCTGTTATTATACTCTCCCCCCACCCCCAATCACCACACATGATTTCATACTACCCAAAATATAATGAAAGAGTGAAAAGGTCAACAATTATAATTAAACAGATCAGCCCCCACAGGAGTGACTACGGAGCATAGCTGCTGTCAATAACTGAATGTACTATATCCTTATGAAGTGCAGAACAGCTAATCCTCAAATCCCAACACGATGACACCAAATCTGTGCTTACCCCACACATAAGGCTTCCATACCAAAGAGTAGTTGCAGTGTTAAAAATGTAATTCACCACACTAACAGGCTAAAAAAGGGAAACCATATGGTCATCTCAGTCAGTGCGGAAAAAGCATCTGATGAAATTAAACACCCATTCATGACAAAAACCCAGCAAACTAGGAACAGAAGGCAACCCACTAACAGGCAGCTACAAAGCCCTTGCTGCTAACGCCAAGGGACAGAGAGGGGCTGGGAGAGTCAGGCACTCTTCTTCTGTCCCTCCAGGTTGCAGGAGGCCCAGGGAACACAGTACAGCAAGAGAAAGTGGGAACAGGCAAATAGATCAGGAAGGAAGGAAGGAGGTAAACAGTGTTCACAGAAGACAATATCATCTATGTAAAAAATGCTAAGCAATCTACAAAAAAAGCCACCAGAACCACCAAGTCAGTCAGGTTAGCAAGAGGGAGGCTTTTGAGGTGTTCTATGTCGTAATTGTGGTGATTACACAACTGTACATTTGTCAGATTCATCAATCTGGGTGAATTTCATTGTATGTAAATTATACCACAATAAAACTGGCCAAAAAGGGAAACTGGCACCTTATTGCTACTGAACTCACGGGCTGCAGCTCTCAGCCTCTCCTCCCCATGCAAACACAGCGCTGTACTTAGACCTGAGATCCTTCCAGGTGCTGTGCTTTTCCATCTCCAGGGAGACCTGTACACCAGAAAAGACCCTTGGGAAAGACATTTCCAGTAACATAAGGGATGGAGCAGCCTCCATAGGAGGATGGATGAAGTGATCTGGATTCTGTACAGGCTGGTAAGACAATGCTTTTTCAAGCGGATGTGGCTGTAGCCCAGCAAAGCTGTGGACAATCTGTTTACAAAAGCCTGGAGTATTGTCAAATATCAAGAGGTTCCCCTAAGTCTAGATCTCTAGTGTTACTGGTGGGGAAACTGAGGATCCAGAAAGAGGAACTAAGTTGCCCAAGAATGTCTACCAAAGACTAGAGGAGCTGAGTTTTTAAAAATAGAGCAAATACAAGGAAGCAGCATACAATCTAAACTTGTCATTTGTATGCATCATCAATAAGCCCATCTGTGTGAAGTTCGGTAAATAGCCTGTCAGGTAAGTGTTAGTGTTAGTAATTGCTCACCCTAAAGTCAAACCCCAGCAGTTGCAGGCCAGAGCCATGGCTCCTCCCACACACTGATTGCCTCCCACTGTGGAAGAGAGAAAACCCAGTCCACACTCAGGAGGTACGCCAGCCCACTGAACCACACGCTGGAGCCACACGTCAGACACAGAATGCCACTCACCTCTAACATCTTTGCCTCACCCTCAGGGTCTGAATTTGTTTGGAAATTGTACTCTCAAAATCATGTGAAGAGATGGGACCAACTCACTGGTTTTCCTCAAGACAACCACTCTCCAAATCAAAAGAAGAAACCTGGGCGCCTACTATATACAATATACTACACCAGGTGAGCAAGATACGACTCAGTTTCCTGATGGCTCAGAATCTAGATTTCGACCAGAGTAGGCCAGGCACGGTGGCTCATGCCTGCAATCCCAGCACTTTGGGAGGCCAAGGCAGGAGGATCTCTTGAACCCAGGAGTTTGAGACCAGCCTGGGCAACATAGTGAGACCCCCATCTCTACAAAAAATAAAAATAATTAGCCCAGCATGGTGACATGTACCTGTAGTCCCAGCTACCTAGGAGGCTGAGATGGGAAGATCATGTGAGCCTAGGAGGTCGAGGCTGCACTGGGCTGAGATTGTGCCACTGCATTCCAGCCAGGGCAACAGAACAATAATCTGTCAAAAAAAAAAAAAGACCAAAAAGACCAAGCGAGTGCTTCCTAAGTTTCAGAAAATAGGCAGAATCATCTTAATCTTTGAATTAAAAGGTATCAAGTATGTTTTATCTAAAATTCACAATGTAAATGAGAAGTTCCTTTTCCTTCCAACATCCAGCCTCAGGAGTTGAGGCCCTGTTAAAACTTTTCCATTTTCACTTTTTGAAAAGCAAAAGTCAGAAAGCAATATTAACCATCAAAATGTTTACAAAACAGGGCTTTTAAAAAACTTTTTTATAAAAAAAGCTTCCACCCACTCAAGGCAGAAAGCAGTGTTTTCTTGGATTCCCAGCCCTCACAGCCAAGAGGTCAGAGACTTGTCCCTTGGGCCTATTTCCTCAAGCTGTTCCTGCCTTCCCCTCCTCTTGGTCCTGGCCCCAACTTGGACCTCAGCCTCCCTTCACTAGCCCCTGCCTGGTCCACCTACCTGTCTCCCTACCCCAGCCCTGCCTGGCACCTACACCAGCCTCAGCAGGGGATGTTTCTGACACTCAGATCTTGCCCTGTCCTTCTCCCATTCACTCAAAAAAGAAATTAGACAACATACAGCACCTTTTCTCCAACACAGGAAAGGAGAAAGAGAAAGAAAAGCATGAAAAAAATTTAACTGTGCTGACAATAATTGTAGTTCCAAATTTTAAAGGCAGGATCTTTAAAAAAAAAATCAGTAAAATGCATTGTGTGTGTCTCATACACACACACACAACTACCTACATATACATACATATAATAATGGGGAGTAATAGTTGCTCTTAATTTTTTAAATTTTATCAAGTTTTAATTTCCCTTTACCTCTCTGGTAAAAAGTCCTCCTTTAGACATTAAGAATTTTTATACAATTATAAAACTAAATTATAAATGATGTAAAGTTCAAGCACTTTACATCAGTACTAAGACAATTTTATTTTTATTAATCTTCATAACATAAAAGATATCAAAATATATCCTCTAAAAAGTTCATCTGGCATTCTACACAACACAGGTTAAAAAACAGAAAAAAAATGCTGGGAAGGATGAGAATATGTCAGGAGTCTAAGAGGATAAGCATTTCAACCTAACTCTGGAAATCTCGTTGGACTTAATATGTCCAAGTGGCCAGAAATCATGATCTTTATTTTGTGGCACTTGATTACCTACAGTCTCTGCTTATGAAATGTCCAAATCATCTTCATCCTGTCCAACTTACAGAGAGACTCAGGCCCACCATGAGCAGGAAACAGAGGTCCCCAAGCAGTCCAGGTGCTGAGGACACCCCTTTGTCCCTCCCTGGCCCACCCTCCAAGCCCACCATCACCTGGCAGCCTTCGGACCCAGGGTTTCTCAACGTCACACCTGGACACATTTAGGGCAAGGCACCTTTGTGGTGGGTACAGTCCTGGGCACTGGGAGATGTTTAGTAGCATCCTGGCCTCCACCCACTAGATGCCAGCAGCACCCCAGTCCCCAGCCCAGGCAGATCAAACACGACTCCAGATCTTGCCAGAAGTCCCCTGGGAGGCAAAACAGCCAGGTGGAGCAGCTCTATTTGACTAAGCCCACTGCCCTCGCCATTCACAGGAAGGCATCATCAGCTGCATCTACCAACCAAGCTCTCCCAGTTCTACCCTCAGGGTTCAGACGTCTGAAACACAGAAGCCTGTTCGCTTCTTACATGTCACACAGCCGCCAGGCCATATGGCTCACTCTGTCCTACCCAGCCCCACAGCCCGGCTGTCGGCCACTCCTAGCCCTGAGACCTGGTCTAAACTCCCCTGCCTCCCCACGCTGCCGCAGCAGCTCACATGCCTCAGCTCCAGTTCTCCCTCCTCCATTTCTCTTTATTTTACTCCCTTCACTCCCTAATATATTGGGCTCTCCAATCAGCCCGCCAAGAGGCCTCAGGCCATACAAGACAGAACCGCTGCAGCATGATTTACACATCCGGCCTCTGCCGGAATGCGCAATATCCGAACTCTGTGAGTGAAATAACAGCAAGCCACGGGGAAAATCAGAGCCCTGCAAAGGGAAGGGCCAGGGTGCCACATACCAGGGCTGGTCCCTGAGAGGCAAGGCTGCCTTGGCTATTTCTTCTAAAGAAAGCAACTCTGCCCAGGGGTAGCTGGCACAAGCTCCATTCCTGCCGCACTAGCGCACAGGATGATCGGCCATCTGTGTGGTCCAAAAGGTCATCTAACTCATCGGGTTCAAAACTACAGGCCCCATCTCTAACTCGACTAATTCTTCCATTAGTCATTCGGAAGCCACACACAGATCCCCACCTATAACAGGACAGGAAAAACTCCAGTTGGCACACGTCAGGTGGGGACAGAGAAACACGACACTTGGAGAAATTTAGCTCGTCTGGAGACACAGGTGGGAGGCAGGACAAGCAGAGGGCAGGGCCGTCTACTCCCTGCACCATTCATCATTAGAACTCAACTCCACGCCACTCTCAAATTCCTCTCTTATCACTTCCCCAAACAGGATGTGTTCAATCGGTGAGTCATGAAAAATAGGGTATTTCTAGAAAACCACTGGAAGGAAGGTGTGGGAGAACGTTTCTAAAGAGAGAGAACAAAAAGACAATATGCAAACCTACTGAAGCATTCACAAGGCCGGAAGTGGGCTCCTGGTTGGGCCCCTGTGCACTGGCCCCCGAGTGGCCGCCAGACTTTATTCTACCTCCCCTTAGCTCAATTCAACAGTCCAACCGACTGGACACCTGAGTAAATCCACCTTCCCGCACCTTGGCTCTACCTAGTCATTTACTCAAACCTGGGCTTTTAAACTGATTAAAGACAGCCCAGCTTCTGGATCCACACGATGGGGATAGTGCCCACTTCCCAGGTGGCGGTCAAGTCCCAGATGTCCGATCTGTTCCCCTCCCCAGTCTTTCATGACAATGTCCCAGCTGCCCTCGCAGGAAGTGATCTCTCCCTGCTTCTGAGCTCCTCCTCACTGTTATCAAGGCCCCTGGAAGGCCACGCACCGCCATTACCTTGCTCTGGTGCAATCTGTGTGCAGTCATCTCTCCCTCCACTAGCCTGAGCCCTGGCCACGCGACAGGCCCTGGCTAAATGTTCTCCCCAGGTTTTCTCACTGAATTCTCACACCAGCCCTGTCTCTACACAGTCTGGTTATTATTGCCTCCCATTTTACAGATTAGGAAGCTCAAGCTTAGGAAGCTGAGAGGCAGCACAAATAGCATCATGAAGAAAAGTGAACTCAAGAGCCAGAGTACCTGGGTTTTGTGACTTCTCTGCTCAGTGACCCAGGGAATGTTGCTTCACCTCTGTGAACCATTCCCGTCTTCTTTAAACATGGGGATGATGACAGTACTTAGCTACAGGGTTGTTGCGAGAATTAAATCCATTTAACACGTATTAAGCACTTATGGCCTGGCACACAGTAAGTGCAATATAAGTGTTTGTTAAACACAAATGAGTAAATGAGCATATTTGCCCATGGCCACACAGGTATCAATTAGCAAAACCAGTATCTGAGTCCAGGTCCAGCTGGCTTCAAAGCAGATGCTCTAATCACTACACAGGCTAAGATATAACATGAGCTCCTGAAGGGAATGAACCATTTCTTAACCATCTCTGCATTTCCCGTAAAGCATATTGGTCCCAGGCCACCATACACCTTTTGTAAGTGTTACTTAAAAAGTAAAATCTGGGCCGGGCGCGGTGGCTCACACCTGTAATCCCAGCACTTTGGGAGGCCGAGGCGGGTGGATCATGAGGTCAAGAGATCAAGACCATCCTGGTCAACACGGTGAAACCCTGTCTCTACTAAAAATACAAAAAATCAGCTGGGCATGGTGGCGCGTGCCTGTAATCTCAGCTACTCAGGAGGCTGAGGCAGGAGAATTGCCTGAACCCAGGAGGCGGAGGTGGCGGTGAGCCGAGATCGCGCCATTGCACTCCAGCCTGGGTAACAAGAGCGAAAACTCCGTCCCAAAAAAAAAAAGTAAAATCTGAAGAATGTACAAAAATGTTTCTCTGAAAAGAGATTATAAAACACTAAAGAACTACCAGAGCCTATAAAGAAAAAAAGCATGAAAGCCTCTCATCAAGGTAACCCTCTCATCTGGAACTTCCATTCTGAGGATGTTTATTTTGGAGACCTCAACATACTATGGCTTCTCAATTCCTTCACTATCTGACAGGCTCTTCAAAGTCCCAGCATAATACTAGCCTTCATTATAATTGTCACATAGACATCGATCACTATCACTGAAGCAACCACCAGGGTTAACCTCCCAGCCCTCCTGGACAGCAATTAGATGAATCAAACTGTTTCAAAGCTGTATGTCTGTATCTCTGTACCACAAAACTACTTTGGTCCCACTGAGCAAAAGAAATACAGAGCAGAGACTGCCAGCATTCTCCATTCCGAAGAGGCAGCAATTTGGAAATATTAAAGGAAATCCTTGGACCCCTGCTGGCAATAGATACAGAACTAAACTGCAGCTGGAAACACGTCTAACCTGGAATTCCTTCCTCCAGAAGAGCAAGGCAGCCCCTCTTTACAGGGGCACATTCAAACATATTTTTACTTTTTTAAGGATCTATACTCACTGATTCAACCTTCAAACCATTACCCTCTAAGAATAAAGTCCCCATGGCCAGAGAAACAAGCTTTCTATGAACCAATGACACCAGAGCTCCAGGAACAGTGTGTCTCACTCCCTGCAATCTAAACTGTACTTGCCTGTCAGTTTTATTCATTCAACAAACACATATTAAACATGTATGATTTGCCAGGTACAATTCTGGGTGCTGGGGATATATCACTAAATAAGAGTCAAAAATCCCTGCCTCCAGGAAGCTTATGATCTAACAGGGAGAAGAGGAGATAGAAAATAAATAAAAAATATGACAAATTATGTGCCAAGTGAAGAAGTTAAACAAATCAGACAAGCTCTCTGTACTCCCAAGATCATAGTCTGTCAAAGAGAAACAGATAAATAATGGATACAGACAGTACAACGTGGATGGTCAGCCATGAAAGGGGTAACGAGGGACAAAGCCAGCAGAGAAGGGGACTCTAATGTGGCCTCCAAGGAAGGGGCATTGGGCTGAACTTCACAGAACAGGCAGGGAGAGACGAAGAGCCGGGCAATTTTGCAAGCAGAGGGACCACCTGCGTAAAAGGATTGGGCACAGGGCAGTGAGGCATGTTGACACAGAGGACAGGCGTGGGTGGGATGTGAGACGGGGTGGGAGGGAGACAGGGGCCCGGTCAACAAGGGAGGAGGGCCCAGAGTCTGGTTAATTTCCAAAAGGTCAGGGAAGCCACCAGTGCATCTTCAGCTCAAAAGCTAAAGAGCAAATCTTTAAGACGATCACCATGCCCACAGTGGGAGCAGAGGCTGCTGAGTACTCCAGCTGACAAATGATGGGGACACCCAATGCAGCTGGAGGAATGGAGAGAAGGGGCCAGATCAAGAGAGATGGAAGCAGGAGCTTCACCCACAGGACAAGGTGGGCAACTGGAGCAAGCCAGGGCAACTTACAGTTGCCACTTCCCAAAGGGTGCGCTGGGTTATGTGGGTGCAAGGACACAGCCCAGCTCTCAGTCCTCACCTGCTGCAGGGAAGAGCCAGGGGCCAGGTGACGGAGCTAAAACCTCAAGGGTGGCATGCGAGACGGCACAGTGAGGAAGAGTCTCCAAAGGAAGGCATGGCATGAAGGCTCCACTAGCAGAAAGAGCACAGAGACACAGCATGCAGACGCCAGGGACAACCAAGGGCCGGGCAGACAGGTAGGCCCACTGCTGTGGGGGAGTCTATAAGCAAGAACAGGGCCCTCTGGCAGGAGAAGGAGCAGGCAGGAGCAGGCCAGGGGCATGGTGGCACCAGGCATTCTGAATGGGCACACACACACAGCAAGGCTGGCCTCCAGGAGGGAGGTGGCAGCTGTGTAACATGACCAGCGACTGCTCACTGGCATCTCAGCACACAGGTGGCAGGTACCGAGTCATGACGCAAATCCAAGTCCGTCAAAGTCCAGGCTGCTGTCACCACACCAGATGCTAAAACTGCAGCTTAAAGTTAAATGCAACCTGATTTAAGACCTAGAGCAAGTCCCTCCTGGCTGAGGTCAGGGGAGAGCTCGGTTGGGGAGAGGAAGAGGGCAGAGCCTGAAAACCTAGTGAGGAGTCAAGGAAACTGTCACCTGCTCCCTGGAGGTCACAAGGTCCTGGCTACAAGAGGGAGTGGAGGGAAAGGATTCACCCCAGCAAACCCTTTCAGCAGAGAGGAACACCCAGCCACTGCCTTTTCCTCATCCATCCTGCTGGCAGAAAGGAGAAATTCCTCTTGCCCAGGCTGGCATAAGAAGAAAAAGGAAGGAAGTGGCCTGGGGAAAGTGACCGACATAGAACCGCAAAGCAGCCGAGCCTGGGTAGCATCTCCCCACCAGAAACAGGCAGGGGTTTGTGCTGCCAGGAAGCAAGATGTTGGCCTGTGCCCTGCCAGGGCCTCCCTCACACACCTCCCAGGTCACACAGGACACCCCTGGCTCATGCTCTGGTGCAGACAGACCCCACCTCTGGGCTTTGTTGCTATTAAAGACATTGCCTCTCCCTATACCACTGTTCTCATCAAAACCCTTATAAATCTGGTCTGCTTAAAAAGGCTTCTCTGGTGATTAGAAAATGCAGGCGTTTTCCTAACAACCTTCCTTCGAAAGGGAAAAAAATGTCCTTGCCTTCCATATACATATCTGCTCTTACTCCCAACTGTGATGGAAAACAAGGACCATCCTCATTGCCAAGCAGCTCAGGGGATGCAGGCACCTCATCCAGCATCTCAGTGCTCGGGGAACCCAGGTCTGCACACAGACACTGTCCTTCCCTCCCACACCCCTTCTGCGGAAGCTGAGTCTGCCCAGGGAAAGCAGCTTGCAGTCCAGCTGTGGGGCTGCCCACTGGGGAATCAGTCTCAGCAGAGTTTTCTCCTGCAGGTTCCAGGCCCTGGGCTCAGGCTGTGGCTTCTAGAAACTTCAGCTTGGGAAACTCACCTGCCAGAGTCAGGGCTGCACTGCTCAGTCTTGTAACCCAGGCTCGCAGTGGCGGCAGGCCCACGGCAGCCCCTCTGGGTCCCCATCACTGGTCCTCTGGTCCCTGGCCAGTCCCTGAGCAAACAAGCCCTGTTCACTCCCAAAGGTTATGACTGACTTGGCGTTGCCAATAGCAACTGCCTCTATCCTGACACATTTATCACACCATATGGTAATCATCTGTTTACATATCTGTTTATTCTGAAACTGTGAGTGCCTGGAAATCCAGGGCTCCCTCTTTACTCACATCAGCGAATGCCCCAGTGTCTGGGACCTTGAAGCAGGATGTGAAAGAAGCAAACATCATCATCTCTTCTTGCAGAAATCATGAAGCTGTTCTCAACCAGCACCTTCTTTACCTCTTGAGCAAGGCTAGGACCTTCCTTGCTCTACACACACACATCTCTACCCCAGCCCACGCTGACAACTGCCAGGGCTGCAGAAATCGGCAATCACTCCAGGTCCACAAATGACCCCAATTTACAGGGGATGGGAGGAGTACACACCTCCAGGGCGGGGTACTTCCTCTGTGTTCTCCAGGCAGCCTATCTCCCATTCTTAGGCTCAGGCATTTTCTCCCCTCTCTCCAGTCTCCCTTTGCTATCAACTAATCCATCACTGACTCAACCAATTCCCTCCAGTGCTCTGTGACCAGCCCTGTGCCTAACAACCCCAACTACCTAACACCTGCATGTCCTTCCAGGCTCGGCTGAGATTCCGGCTGCTATAGGAAAGCAGCCAGCTCCATGCTGGCCACATCTGCCTCACTCCTCCCTAGACACAGGCTAGGCCTCTCCTGCCAGGCCAGCAGCACCCAAGGGGGATGGCCATTTCTCCTGTCTCCTTTGAAGCTGCCCCCGGTGCCCAGCTCAGTGAGAGGCTGGACTCAGGTTGGTTCATCAAAAGACAGGGGAAACCCCTCAGTCCAGGCTCAAGGGAGGTCAAAGGGTGAAGACAGCAGAGGTCAGGCTGAGGCTCTCTGTGACGGGCACCACTGAGCAAAGTCCAGGCTGCGGGTCACCATCCCTAAGGCAACTGCAAAGTCCACCACGGAAGCAGCACAGGTTACCTGCCCCGCCACCGGCTCTGCAGGTACGCCCTATTGTCTTTAGAGCTGCTGGCTTTCTTTGTTCCTGAAGTTAAGTGTGATGATGTGGGGGGCCCGCATCTGTAGAGATGTTTAGTACATCCGTACTAAAAGTCCTCTCCTCTGCCGAGTCCTGTCTCTATCCTGATTGTCCACTTTCTGCCCCTAGCCCTCAACCACTAGATCCCTACATCCTAAGAAGGCAAGCCCAGCCTTCAGAAGGGAGCCTGGCTGCACTCCCTCCTAAAACGCCAGATCTTCCACCTCTGTACAGTCGGCCCGTGAGGGGTGCTTGAAGCTGCTGGAAATGTCACAGAAATTTGGCAGGAAATAGGACTATCAATGCACTTCACCATTGTGATGATAAAATTAAAATTTCAGTTATATAGCATTATTTAGAAAGAGTGCCGTTCATAATTTCTTGGCCAACTGAGCAGCATACATTTACATATATTAGGTGTCACCAGGAATAATTTGCATTTGGGTGTGCCAGTTCACATACACATTCTGCTGTCCCTTGAGAGTCTGAGAAATTCAGTGCTCCAGAGGCACCATTGTTTCTTGCCTCTGTGATGGCCAGATGGAAAGAGCCATTCGTTTGTATATCACACATGAACTCTGCTCAGGAAGAAGGGGGCTGCTCCCTCCACCAAGCATAACAAAAATGCATCAACTATCAGCTCCCAGATGGGTTCACTCCTTCTGGAGCCGCCCAATCACTCTTCCCAAAGAAAGAGACCAAAGACAAATATCAAAACATAGCAACCAAAAGAAATGAGGAAAAGCAGGGATGTGATTATAGACTCAAAGACTGGGAACCACTTAGACATCATCTAAAATCTTTCTCTTCTCAAGGATAACACCGAGGGAGTGGGCAGGATGTGAAAAAAAGAAATATGCATTGTAACTGGAATACTCACCATGACAGATGACATACGTGTATTTTTAACACTGAAGGAAGATATGATTCTCTCAACAGGATGATTCATTCCAATGACAAATAATTCAAGATTATGACTTCCGAAGGTTATATGGCCAAAGAGTATGTCCTTATCGAATATACACCATGAATTATGTCTCACACTTAAATTCCAGAATTCTTAAAACCTCATATTAAAAGGTTCACCCGCATTGCATTTAAACTATATATACACTCATAATGTGATCTGGACTGTACTCTCCAATCTCGTTGCTATTATCTGGTTATTACGAATCAGCAGCGCCTTTTGCTGGAACAGCTAATACCACTAGTGTTAAACAGTAACCGGTACTGTTAACGCCCTTCTGATGTAACATGCAAATATTTCTAAGTTATCTGTCCTCACTAGTCACTTCCAAAAACAGTACCTGCAACAAACAATGCATATACAAACCTTAAAATCCCTTTTCAAATTAAGAGGCTGGTCAAAGAAGTTTCTAAGCATACAGAATCCGTGCATAGGCACATGTACTCACAAATATCTTACCACATTTTTTTTAACTCAATAAAATGGTTCCTGAGCCCCTCCTAAATACTCAGCTGGTTTTGGGTAACAGAACGATCATTCACTGAACAAGGGCTGTTAAGATCCTGGTTAAAGTCTCAGGGCCACCGCTTACTAATTACCTTATTTTACAGAGCCATTAAACCTCTGTGATGCTGTTTCTCAGCTGTAAAGTGTGCATGTGCCCTGTCCCACCCAAACAGTGTTGTGAAAATAGCCAAGAATAAATAAAAATGAGAGCTTATTTTAAAAAAAGAAAAAAGAGCTCCTGTTCTCAGGAGTTTGCAGTTTGGTTTCAGGAAATAAGAATACAAACACAGGAAACAAGTCCACCATGAAAATGGTGCACTTGCTTTAGAGGAGGCTTGCTGCTGAACAACACTGAGGGAGGCAGGCACAATACTCATGCGTCAGGCACTGCAGCACACAGGGCCCTCTTCATAGAGCACACGCCCTTAGGATTAGGGGCTGAGGGTACAGCAGAGGCCAAGTGCCCTGAAAATGTAGGAAGTAGAGACAATGGAGGCTACCAGTGAGAAATGAAGACTTCTCAGGCACAGCAGGGCTGGAGACGCTGGATGGCAGATGAGCAGGATTCCAGATCCACCAGAGAGGAGGAGATTCTCTGCCATCCGACAGGCCACCACTCACACATAGCTCCTCTCACCAGGGAGCAGGACCTGAATACCTGGACTGGGTCTGAGCTCCCCTTACCCTTCTGGCTAAGTGACACCTCTGCTCCACTGTCAACAGCCTGTATCAGGCCCATCGTGCACCCCTCCAGCATGCAGGAGAAGGGAATGGCTCCTGACTGACCAAGGGAGCCACCTGCAATCTCTCTCCAGACCTCCCGCCTTTCTGGTCACTGAGTGAGTGCAGAGATCACACACTGGTGATGTTAGACCAGGGAAGAGCACACTGCATGCTAGACTGCCGATGTTTTTAGTGGATGGACAGCATGTTCATTGTTTTTCCAGGCTCCCAGTGACTCGTTCAAGTCCTCTCTTCCAGGGCTTAAGAGGGAGGAAGAAGTGACCCAGGACGGTCTTCCCCATGGCAGCCTGTGAGGACCTTTGTGCAGAGGCCAGCATCCAGAGCAGGACAAGCTCAGAGCACTTGCTCCTAACTTCCCCTTTATCATAAAGCCCTTCAACAAGCTGTACTTTAAAATTACAGAATTCCCAAGCTGGAAGGTGTCCTTGAAGTCATTACGGAACATTCTCAAATCAATAAATGAGGCAAAGGTATTTGCGGAAATAAAAGCTCAAGAGGGGCAGAAAGTAGACCCACTTCAAGTTCAGCATGGCCTCAGGGAGGTGACCCTGCTCCCTGCAATAGGCATTTTGGCAATTACTATGCATAAGGACATACAGCCATACAATGTGCTTTACAGAAAACAGATACTGAATGAACAAATGAATGGATGATCTTTTATTTGTAAACGGTAGGTTCCTTAAAAGTAGAGATAAGGTTGTATTTTTAAGAGTTTTATTATAACGTTCATTTCTAGTATACAGCATTATTGTCTATGTGGCCAGCCAGCTGTGGGACTTCTAACAGTCAACCTTCTGAGCCCCTCTCAGGGAGAGACAGGCTCACATGAGGCATAGGACACAACCTCTGCCTTTAATGTCATCTCCTCCCTGGCAGAACCATCGTTTCTCCTTTCCTCCAGCTCATGGGCACCTTCCAGACAGGAACTCTGCAGAACCCAGGGTCTGGTATGGAGCAGGTGCTCTGTGGAAGTAGGAAGGGAGGGAGGAACGCCAGCCTAAGCATGCCAACCACACACCAACCTACCCCGGCTGACAGCCACAAACTAGAAAATGAGGAGTTGCCATTTAACTTCCCTGGAATATGTCCCTTCCTTTGTATACACAATGCCCTAATCCAGACCCCTACATCCACTCACCACGGCAGTTGCCAATGCTTCCTATTGGTCTCCTTGCCCCCCTAACCTTTCCAGCCTGCTCCATTTACCTTGGATCCCCAACCAGGCCAGACCAGGCTTCCTAAGCCCAGCTATGGTCATATCACTCCCCTTCACAAAAGCCCTTGATATTTCCCCACAATCTTCTAAATCAATTCCCACTGACATGCTTAGTCTTCCATAATCCAACTCTGATCCACCTGTCACCTGGACTTACTTTTGAAATCAAGAGGTAAAATCAAGACCACAGAGGAAAAGGCAAAAGTACTTACTTTGATTTACTATAAATCTCCTGGGGAAGAAAAGGCTGCTTTCACCAGCGGCAGGTCCCTGAGTCACCACAGCAAGCAGAATGTCTAAACAGGACCATGCGTCCTACAGACCACTAGACAAGTGTCCTTAAGGTTCCTCACAACCCAGTATTCTGGCCCAGGCTGGGACACTCTCTGGGACAGAGTCGATCTGTGAGACAGCTCTACCCACACTCGGAGCTCTAACCAGGGTTGGGACAACTTTTTCTATAAAGGAGCAGATGATAAATATTTTAGGTTTTGCAGGTTGCATATACACGGTATGTTGCATCTTCTTTGGACTTTTTACACTTTTTTTTTTTTTTTTTACAACCCCTAAAAACCATAAACACCATTTAGCTTACTCTTTTTTTTTTTTTTTTTTGCATACAAAAACAGCTGGCGCTTTGCTGACCTTGGCCTGACCAAAGAGGGACAACCCTGGGTACCCTGAACCCCATTTGCAATGTTCCAACTTACGTACCTTGACTCAAGCTAGCCCTCCCATCCCCTCCTTTGGTGAGACTCCCAATCTACAGAAGACAAGAGAAGGCACAACCACAACCCAGCATGCTAGTGTGGGCATGACCACCATGCTTCCCAGATATAGAACACTCTGTGCTTCAGATCATAGACATCCCAGGTCTCTCCCAAAGATGGCTCAATGGATGGACAGAGATGGATAAACGGATGGATAGATGGATGGATAAAAAAGGACACACAAAGTAAGCTAAAAACTAATTGCTTCAAGAATTCAGAAATGAAATTTGTTCTGATAAATGGGAGGTGTTAGGGAAGGTTCTACAGAGGAAGAGATACAATTAATGTTTTTCAAAGAAGAAATCAGATATTAATTGGGATGGTTTATAGAGTGGAGATTTCAATCATCCTTAAAAGATTTTCCTGCTTCTCTAACTTTCAAAGGATGACACGACAACCATGATTTTGCAAACCAAAATGGATTTATTTATACAGCAATCCTTTGAAAGAGAAAGGTACAAAACCACAAAATAAACAAGATTAGCTGGACCCTGACAATCAACGAACATTTTCTGAGAATTATGTGTGCTAGGCATCGTGTTGAGATTCAACGAGAAGTAAACCTAGTCCCAACCCTAGGCACACTTCGTCTGGTATGGAGGTTCCATGGGAAAACTAAGAACAGCAAACGGAGAGAACTCTGGATTTGGAAGCTTCCTGACCCCAAAAAGGAAGTGCCAGAGTATTTGGAGGTCAAGCAGGAAGCCTCCTGCTCGGCCCCGGTCACTCAGTAGGCAATCCTCCTTCCCTCACACTGCTCAACAATGGCTGTCCTCACGTCAGGCTATGTGTCCAGAAAATGTTTCCATGTTATTCCACCAAGGCCCAAATTCCACACTAACTGCCTCATTTGGGCCAACATTAAAGGAAGGAATTGTTCTACAGAAATTAATTTTCTTAGTGAACTCAAGCTCATTAAAATTTACAAAGCAAAATTCAAAAATTATTTTCATGGAAACTATCCTCAGTGGATTACATGCATCCCAGCGCACCAAAGCAGAGGACACTGATTTTGACTATTCTGAATGACCAACCTAACACCAATAAGCATGCTCTGCTGTGGCTTAGTGAGACTTGCCGGGATTCCAGAGTAGGAAGGGGCCCACCCTTCTGAGCTGGTCTAACTCTTTTCTCTTCTCCTCCCTTCCAACTGCCCTCAGCTGTAGGATACTGGGTCCACGCTATTCCTATTTCACTACATGGTCTTTTCTGGAAGCCTTAGGAAGACATGGCCCTGACCTACAGGAAAAGAAAATGGGCTTTATAGTAGCTACTTTCTACTTAACTGGGGGTCTTTTTTGCTTACTTCCAGATCTAATGCACACCCTATGGCTGCCAGCTTATTCCAGCTAATATTACATTTTCTTTTGGAAAAAACAATTAACAAATTTCTGAAACACACGCTTGCTGACACCACTACTCCCTAATTCACACCAAAATCTAACAAAGTATCAGAACCCTATAGCACTTCATGACATACTGGGGGCAGAAATGAAGTCCTACATGTTCCAGATAATGCATCATTGCCTTGGTACACAGATGCTTGAAGGATCCAAGAAGGTTCATAAATTAAAAGAGCAAATAAAACAGGGCCCTTAAGAGATTTCATACTAGCTATGACTAAAGCAATTTTGTCATAAGATCAATCAGATCTCCTTTACTTCACTCTCACCATAAAGAGAACTACGCACTTCGAAAATTAAGCTCCTTCCAACATTGCTATAGAAGGTAATAAATCATTTTCAAAAGACTGAATAATAAACCCAGTTCTAGAAAATAGAGGGGAGTCAGAGTGGTAGGAAAGGAAGCCAACTTTAAACGTCATCACCGAAGCAGTCGATGCTTCTCAAGTCTTGCAAGTGCAACTTGAGAGACATGGGAAGGCCTCTGCCTAAAATCCCAAATTAAAGCGAAGCGGCGCTCTTGAGTCTCCTCTGGATGGCATAGGATCATTTAAAGGGAAAACACAGGCCCTGGAGGGTCTGGAAATAAACCAAGGAAGTGAGGGTCAAGAGAAAATGAAGGGGAAAAAAGCAGGGAGATGAGGGGATGAGAATTTTAAGCTTTGGACACTGATTAGATTCCAGCACAAGCATCCGGGTCCCCAAGGAAAAGGTGGGACCAGGAGTGTAGACAATGGAAGGAAGGAAGATGGGAAAAGCTGAAAGGCCATTTCTCCTACCCATGATTTTTACTGTACGTGATCCCTGCTGGCAAACACACCACCAGAACCTCTTCCAAATCAAAAGCATGCAATCTGGCAGGCTGGACCAAGGCAAACCAAACCTATGGGTTCTGACAGCCCGAGGCTCCAGTAGTAAACACACCTCATTCCTATTTGTCAAAAAAGAAAAACAAACAAGAGAATTTACAAGGTGAGAAGAAAACCAGGAATCTAATAATTACCTTTTGTCAAGTGAGCAGTTTCCTAGGTAGGGACCAAACCAAGCCGGATGTTGACAGAAAGCAACCAAAATACCAGCCACACTCACCAGCAAAAACAATGGCCTGGAAAGGTTTAGCTGTTGCAGAAAGCCACAGGAGGCCTGGCTCCTACTTAACCGTAAGCCTCCTCGGTGACTACCAAGCTCTGTGGCCAGACAAGGCAAATATCTGAAATCCATTTACAAATGCAAAACCATTTCCACTAACTTCCTCTGCAACTAAAGACCAAGCAAAGCAATTCTTCCCATTTTCTCAACATGCCCAGAAGCCAAATAAGAAACAGGCCTCCCCCCCACCCCC